TAATATTACAAAGAAATCAGCAGGAAATGCATTTAAAATAAAAAGACAAAAAGAGACCATCCCAGTCAGTTAAAGTATAATCAGTGCTGCATAAAATGATTTAAATTCAAAGCAGAAAAAAAGGGTCATGTAGCGTTTGTTGAGTGTGTACCTGCAGGAGTTTCTTTGAGCAGCTGTGTGCAGCGTTGCAGCAGCAGAGCAAACATGCCCAGGCCCAGAGCGGTGCTTTGCTCGAGCAGAACGGACCGCACGTCGTCTTCTTCACCTGACACAGAAACGAACACTTCAGTGACTTGTGTGAGAAYATTTATTTAACTTAAACTTATATTCATGGCCACCGAGCTTCAAACTAAAACTCCACTAAAAAATGTACTCATTTAATCAACTAAATACAGTGTATTTGTCTGTAGCAAAAATGACTCAGTTCATCATTTAAAGATGATTATAAGTGATGGCGTCTTTCTGTGAGCGTGCTTTTACCTCTGCCGTGGGCATTATGTATGGCAAACATGTTGATGGTGATGATCTGCAGCATGTTTGTGCAGCCCAGCAGCGAGGGGCCGTGCTGCAGGAGCGTCCTGAACTCCTGTAAAACACGACTCGCCACYGCGGGGAACGATTCCATTCTGGGTAGAGAAAAAGCAGGCAAACACACAAACCAGGGCGTTTATACCGCTTTTCACTGAAACGCGTCAAGCATACGAAGAAAAACAGCTGGCAAGCATGAGACATCACTCACCCCACTTTAGTGAAGAGCTTCCCATGTGCATGCAAGAAACTCAGAATGAACCGCTTATTAAGCTGTGGACAAAACAAAACTATTATTAATCCTTTTAGTAAAAATTTCATCCAGGTACAAAATCCTCAGAACGGCACAGGACAGGAAGACACGTCATTATTCAGRGAAAAAAGACAAAGAAGAGGTTTAAGATGGCATAAACATTTAGAAGCTCTAAATGTTTTATTAATAACAAAGCTGATCCTTGAATCTTTTAAAATATTGTTTCCATATTAATGAGGACCTAGTCTGATAAAATATATCCAGTTTCTCTGTTCATAAACACAACTCTGAATTAACAGAAACAAGAATCAGGAGCGTGTGTGTGAAAGAAAAAAAGCTCTTACATCAGTGGCACTGAGGCTGCCCAGCTCTCCATCCTGCTCAGAGTCCCGGCTGGACTCGCTGCCTCCTCTCTGCGAGGAGGGCGTCGCCGTTCGTCCAGCGGGATGGATCCAAACCTCCACACGTGCTCCGTCGTCCCCTCGTCCTCTCCTTCTTACTGTGGGACCCTGAGACCGGCCTTCGTGCTCCTGCCTTTTTCTTCGCTCAAGCTGTTCTGCCTGGGAGAGAAAAAAAGGTATGTAAACAAGAAGCATTTCCTCTGCTGAAAGTTGAGATTTGTTTTTCTACAGATACTAATGCACACGTTAAATCAGGCATCATCAACAAAAACATTCATTGGTAMTTCCTGTATTCTAGTCAGTTGTCTTTTGGTCATTTACACCTGATTTTTGTTAACTTTTATATACAAACATACTTATAAATATGTTATTGGTATTTTATTTTATAGTGAAATGTTAGCAGACTTTGTTTTTTCTTCAGTTTTTTAATGATACATTTACTAGGGGTGCAACAATACATGTACCCGCATTGAACCGTTCAATACAGTGCTTTAGGTTCAATACACACTTGTATCGAACAATACAGATTTTTTAAATTTAATTTATAAGCTTATCTTCTGAAGATGCTCTGTGTTGAAGGATCAGTGAATCTGTGTTCGACTACTCCACCTAGGCTGCATTGTCGAGCGCAGATCCACTGAGAAATTTGCTGTTTCAGCAACATTTAATT